CCAAGAGTTGGGCACAACTGGTTATAACAACAATAAACAGCATAATCCTCAGACTGAAAGTGTCCGATTTAAGTCCATTTTGATTTGCTGATGCCTAAGATGTCAACATGTAGTTGACCCTTTTCATCTTTCACTGTGGTTAGCTTTCTCACTGTGGTGAGCTCTTACTTCTGACAGTTCATGTTTCTACTCTGATTTTCTTTTCCTGATGACACCAGCAATTAGATGCCTCAAGGCATAAAGCCATGTCACAACATCTTTAGTATTAGAAATGTCCTTAGTTGTTCTTCATTAGCATTTTGAGTGTCATCCAATCTGGGGAACCCATCATCTGGTACATTGTTATTTGTTTTAATCTTATCTCATCTATGTAGTTTTCTTGGTTAAACCAGAGATTTATAGTGATTTCTGCCCTTGGTGTCACTAAAATAATCATCCACCTCCACCTCCAGCATCTTCTGCTACTGCTGCTACAATATCAATATGCTAAAATGTAGGTGCTGGCTTTTAATCAAAGAGCTGAGATGACCTTCAGACCTTGGGTAACCCTAATGGATGTGTATATTGTTGACATCTGCCCTTAGCATTCTTCCTTCACACTTCCCTTTCTCAAACACGCCTTCCATGATGAAGTAGCATAGCAGGCTTGAAGGGACCACCTAAATGAATTCACTAATAACTAATTGAAGGAAATTCCTCCTGCACTAAGATTCTGAATTATACTGATATTTACTAGTATACATCTCAATTTTGCGTAAATCTTACCTTTCTTGCTTTTGCCCACCTACGTGGGGCTTGATATTATTTTTGAGGACATGTACGTTCTGAGTGCGGTGTAAATTACAACTTTTAAATGTGCGGTATACTTTTGATGGCCAGCCCGAAGGCTGAGCGTGACCTGACAAATGCACGCTGACAAAACCGCCGGGACAAAACGGTGACGTTGAAAGCGTGCCCACTAAAGCACGTCGACAAAACCGCGGCCACAAAACCGTGATTATGGTTTTTAGGTTAGGATTAGGTTTAGGGTTGTTAACGTTGTTACCGTTGTTTGCGATGGCGCGCTTTTGTTGGCGCGCATTTGTTGACACACTTTAGTGGCCGCGCATTCAATGTCACCGTTTTGTCGTGGTGGTTTTGTCGGCGCGCATTTGTCAGGCGCGCATTTGTTGGTGAACCAGGCCGAGTTGATGTTTTGCACCAAATCAAGGATGAATAATCCCTAGGCCATTTATATTAAGACAACACTCTCAAAATGTCAATTCTCAAGTGAGTATTTCCTCCTAATAATGTAAGGGAAAAAATAAATGCTCAATTTTTTTTTAGGATACTCCTTAGGAATAAAAGACCCTCCTTAAAGTGGGATGAACCAACCTAATTGGGCTAACAGCCTAGTGTGCAGAAAGAATTGGGGTCTCACCACATTTCCCCCCACAGTCAATCAGGAGTCCAAAGTAGACACAGAGGGACTCATGACTGTTAATGTCCTGCATCTAGAGAACAATTAAAGAGCTGTCGTCACATATTATGCTAAGCCATTCAATTTGTAATTGCTGTAAATCAGTAAGTCAGGGAAAAGAAGGGTAAGTGCAATAGTACTTCATTTAATCTATGAACTCAACTTTTAGGTTCTACAGCAAGAGAGATATGGAGAAGTTTCAATGGTCAATATACAGTATATTTTTAAAATTTTCTACCTCAAGACCAGGTGGAACCAAACAAGTTATGCTAAAAGTCAATTAAAAAAAAAAGGAATACAATACAGATAGTCCTCAACTTACAACCACAATTGAACCCAACATTTATGTTACTAAGTGATGCACTTGTTAAGTGAGTTTTGCCTCATTTGAGGACTTTTCTTGCCACATTGTTGTTAAGGTAAGTAACATGGCTGCTAAGTGAACCTGGCTTCCCCATTGAATTTGCTTGTCAGAAAGTCATCAAAGGTGATCACGCAACCCCGGAAACTACAAGCATCATAAATATGCACCAGTTACCAAGCATCTGAACTTTGATCACATGACCATGGGGATGCGGCAACGGTTGGAAGTGTGAAAAACAGTCCTAAGTCACTTTTTTCACTTCTGTTGTAATTTTGAAGTCACTAGATGAACTGTTGTAAGTCGAGTGGAACCTGTACAGCTTTGTTTTCTTAAAGCAAATACAGAACTGAACATAACCGTTACAGAATTCTTTAGCCTGATATTTGATTGATACTGAAATATCATTTACCTGGAAATCAATTGCAACAGTTTTGGTTGCATTAAGGGACTGATTCCATTCCTCCCATGAATTTTGAAAGACAAAAACATTATTTAGGCAAGAGCTAGATGTCTTACAATTCTACACAAAAGCTACCATATACATAGTACCAATTGGGAATCCATTTCACTGTAGTTCTTCAACGATATTGGATTTATGTATTGTAATTTCTAAACTGAGAAGATTCGGAACATGATGCTTGCTTGGATGTCAGTCTTGCAAGTTGAAATTTTGTAACCTCTAATTCTAGATATGAAATTGTTGTGGAGAGCCGGAGAGTTTCAAAGCAATTCTTGTGTAGCACCTTCCCTTGTTCAGCCTTCCTTCTTCACGCTGAAAAAAATTCATGCAATTATTAAACCACAAGCAACTCTTTTTGCCTTTTCAGAATAAAAATTCTTTGTTACAACAACTTTATTTCCTAATGCTTCATACTTGCCAAGAGGTTTTACATTTTTTTAAAAAGAAATTATCCATTTCAGAGGTGTTATTAACTCAATTAAGGATAACAGATTAACTGTAGAAAGCTGCTATTGGGGAAAAAAAACCCCTTTCTTCTTGTCTTTTACAGCAGCCATTGTTACCTTGACATCTTCTCCTCCAAGTTACTGTAAAACCACAAATCCCACAATTCTTCCTCTGGCTAGCATGACTGAGAATTCTGGGATTTGCAGTTCCAGCATAACTGAATTGGAAAAAGCTTCTGCAAGGTTTTACCACTTTGACCCCGTGCTTCCTTTTTCATTAGGCAATTTGAAAATAGACAACATAAAATCAGGGCCAGGCTACATGATGTCATTGGAAAGGCCTGGTGGATGATGTCCAATGTGGACATCATCTACACTTGGACTACTGCTTTCAGTTTTGGTCGCTACGATGTAAAAAAGATGTTGAGACTCTAGAAAGAACACAGTGAAGAGTAACAAAGATGATTAGGGGCCTGGAGGCTAAAATATATGAAGAACGGTTGCAGGAATTGGGTATGTCTGGTTTAATGAAAAGAAAAACTAGGGGAGATATGATAGCAGTGTTCCAATATCTCTGGGGTTGCCACAAAGAAGAGGGAGTCAAACTATTCTCCAAGGCATCTGAGGGTAGGACAAGAAGCAATGGGTGGAAACTAAGCAAAGAGAGAAGCAACCTAGAACTGAGGAGAAATTTCCTGACAGATAGACCAATTAATCAGTGGAACATCTTCCCTCCAGAAGTTGTGAATGCTTCAACGCTGAAAGTTTTTAAGAAAATGCTGGATAACCATTTGTCTGAAGTGGTGTAGGGTTTCCTGCCTGAGCATGGGAATGGACTAGAAGACCTCCAAGGTACCTTCCAACTATTATTCTATTCTATTCTATTCTATGCCAAGTTCTCCCCAATTGTATAATATTCAGGCCATTTTGCTGCTTAAATGCAAATAGCAGCAAAAAAAATATTATATAATTGGGGAGAACTTGGCATAGGCCAGGCCTTTACAATTATATTGTGTATCATAACTCTGATTTTATAGCTTTCCTTCCACAAATAGAACAGTGTTGGGCTGTGCCTCTAATAAGAATACAGGCGTACAGGAGCATAGGTGTAGAGTCAAAGAATATATGAACAGGATTGTTCTTTTTCCTCACAGTGTTAAGATAATGGACTGTAAAAATCGATAATCTTTCAGCAATTACCAAATTACCAGTTATTAAATCAAGAAATAACTGTATAACTAAATATCAGAAGCAAAACACCTACAACATGTCTGGGTACTCATATTTGAAGATCATGGGGAAGTTTTTTGATTAGAGTAAATTCCAACTGAAAGTAAATGATTGATGCAAATCTAAAATTGTAATTTATTAATGTATTAGGCTAAAATTTTCATCTAAGGCTCTGGGGGCAAAATACAATGGGCAATTAAATCTAACATAAACTAAAATACCCAAAGGGAGTGTTGACTTAGTGCTACACATACACACACAAAATGCGCTTACACACATCTCTGCTGCTGTGGCTAAGAGGCGGGGGAAAAAATTGACTAGTTTTACAAGTACCTTATTTTTTCACGTAATACAAACTAGGATTATATAATAAAACATTGTAAAAACTCTGTGATCTTAATTGTTGTGTCCCTTTTGTATGCAATTCTGTTTGTAATTCTTCTGAATTAAAGTGCAGTGAGGAGGAGGAGGAGGAAAGGGCGCATCTCCAAAGGGCATCTTACCTGACATTTGTGTAGGGATAAAAGCAGATTCGAACTACTTGCTTCTCAGATATTCAAGAGTTTGGTGCCAACTTATTACATTTATTTTATTACTATTAATTTAATTTGTTTCCCACCTTATTATTTTTACAAATAACTCTAGGCGGCGAACATATCCAAACACATCTTCCTTCTCTTCCTATTTTCCCCACAACCACCACCTTGTGAGGCAGGTTGGGCTGAGAGAGAACAACTGTCTCAAAGTCACCCAGCTGGCTTTCATGGCTAAGGTGGGACTTGAACTCATGTTCTGCTAGTTTCTAGCCTGGTGGCTTAACCACTGGACAAAACTGTCTGCATAAGGTTCAAACACGCTCTGCTTTAAGGTCATAGCTAACCTTACCTTCTGCCCTCCCTCACCTCGACCCCCAAAAGGCCAAATATAATATTTCGGCTCTGCTTCTTAATGTTATAAGCCTGGGATGAAAAATTGGTCAACGCTACTTGCTTGTGATGGGTTTCCCAACATTCAGTTTGCGAAAGAGAGGTAGGCAGGAAACAGCTTTAAAGTGACAGACGATTCTTTTATATTTAAAAACCAAATAATAATATTAATAATAATAAACCCAGATTAAATAAAATGTACAGTGAATATACCCAGCCAACATCTGTTATGTGCAATTAAATACGGCTCCGTACCGCGGCACAACGCTGAACAAAACAATATACACGTGTTCTGGAGAGGGGGCAAAGGGCAGGACATGTTCCTCCACACAAAAATAATAATAATTAAAAAAAAACAGAAGCCCCCCCCCCAACAAAACAAAAACAAAACAAATCAATGTCTTTTTCTCTTCATTTTGTCCATATAAATATCTCCAGGAAATTACCCCCTCTATCACCCAAATTAAAAAAGGGGGGGGGGAGGGAAGAAAGACGGGGAGGCGCATGTGGAACTAAAGGAGGCTGGTCAAGGGGCTGTTGGGGGGGTGAGGCTGGAGAGGCCAGTCCAATGTGCTTGTTGCCCTCCCCCTCCCCGCCCCTCTGTCTGCCCCTATTGGGAGCTGGCACGCTCCAGCACACGCAGGTCGTAGTTCTTTTTGGCCATACGCAACTTGAAGCAGTTGAGAGAGTTGTTCAGATGCAGGGATGCGTTTTGGGCTGCCAAAGGGCTGGGGAAGACGGCCACGATGGTGTATAAGGCAGCAAGGTCTGAATGCCTGCCGTTCTCCGCAGTCCCGTGGTTATTGTCGCCCCCGCCCCCAGGACGCCCCTGAGTTTCTTTCAGCCACTGGATTTTGGCACCAGACATGGCTAACTGGGTGAAGAGCTTGTCAGCTTCGGTACGTGTGATTCCTTCGGGCAGGTCGGTGACTTCCAAGATACGGCCCAACACTGTCGGAAGAGGCAACCGGAGCAAAGAAGAAGGAAGAGAAATATGATTAGTATCCTCCTCTGAGGAAGTGGGGGGTGGGAGGGTGGAAGCAAGAGGCTGTAAGCAAAACATGAGGGGACTTCAGCTTTCGTAAGTTAATAATTTTCTAGACTTCTGACTTGGAGACCTAACTCTCCCAGGCCAATGCTCTCCCAGCAACTGAATTCTTGCCTGCCTTTTAGAGGTTTTGGCTACTGGCTTTGGAAACAGAACCTAAGGATCATGGGAAGGTTAGTTTTAGAAGTCCCCACTCTGTTGAAAGCAAAAGACTAACATCATCTGTTATTACCTCCTTTGGGACTATCAACACCTGTTTCCCCAAGTCAAGCAAGCAAGGCTGAGGATCTCCTTCACTACACTACTAAAGTGCAACCTGTTTAAATGAAATACCCCCCCCCCCCTCAACACACACACGGCAGTGTAGGATGCGTATCTCCACATATCAAATTGCTTTCACCAGGCTTTGGTTATCACTGAGTCGGTCCCTCAGGAAAGTCTAAAATATGCTACACCAACTTCCCTTTTTTGGGAAACCATTCCACATCTCAGCCAGTTTCCTCTCCATCTGTTTCATTGTATTAGACATTAGCAGGGATAGTCAACCATGGAAAGACATAAGAACGTAATGAGGTTTTGGGGTTTCCCCCCCAGAAACGATACAAAATCATTCTAGTTTTCTATCTGAAAGCATGAGATCCAATGCAGAACAAGTTGGTTTCTAATCAAGTCCTGCCGGGTGCTGATTGGTAATGAATTCCTATTTACCAGTACACTAAGCATACCATGAACATGTTCTAAAATGCATGTGAATGGCCATTCATATTACCCGGGTAGCCCCTCTGACTCAGCATCCTTTCTGAGATACATTTGGTGCCAGCTTTAACTATCTTTTCAGTACCAGGCAAAAGAGAGTTATAGTTTATGGGTCTCTTAATCTATCATTATGTAAATTCAATGCTGCAATAATGTTTTTAAGTATCTAACTGCTCTTTATTTTATTGTATGACTTAATTATCATTTAATTATGTTTGATATTACAAATGTACAGCAAACCATCTAGCAAAATCTGGTTTTGAAGGGCACTATACATTGAATTTAAAAAAAAACAAAGGGAAAAAATTGAAAAAAAACAAGTCTTCCAAAGAATATATTGCAGGTAGTCCTCTATGTAAGAACACAATTGAGCCCCCATTTTTTGTTGCTAAATGAGACATTTGCCTCATTTTACGACCTTTCTTATCAAAGCTAGTAACATGGCTGTTAAGTGAAACTGCCTTCCCCATTGACTTTCTTTGTCAGATGGTCACATGACCCCAGGACGCTGCAATCGTCATAAATATGAGTCAGCTGCCAAGTGCCTGAATTTTGATCACATAACCATGGGGAAGCTGCAATGGTTATTAGTATTGAAAATCTTTTTTCTCACTGCTGTTGAAACTTTGAATGGCCATTAAAGGAACTGTGGTAAGTTGAGAACTTACCTGTATTACAGAGGTAAATCATAGTGTTATAGATTAGTGAAAAAAATGATAGGAAAATTCTGGGATTTAGACAGTATGCAGGCTATATAAATGTGACAGCTTCCTAAACAGTTCTGGGAAATGTAATTTGGTGGGATGTTTCTAATCACCCCACTTTAAATACAATTTCCCAAATGTATTCACAAAAGAAATGCTCCCCCCCCCCCCGCCAAAAAAAATCCCTTTCTCATAGACTGCTCATTAAAAAAAACCTACCAAATTTGAAATTAATATGAGAGGATGATGGCACGGGTATACATTTTTATCTGCATCTAATCTATATTTCTCCATATACCTAAATATAAGGCTCTGTTGGGGAAAAGGATATTTCCCTATAGTCAGCTTTATGTACACTGAATCATTTTTCAGAAGGGTTCTGTGCTCAGGGAATTAGTCCTTCTGACTATTTGCTTGGCAGTACATCTGAATGTGTGTGCCTCAAGTATGCAAGCATTATAGCAGTTCCAGTTTCCAGTGAGCAGGAGTGCTGGATCCTAGCAGGCAGGATTCTTTACTAATATTAAACAGGTACGTAACAAATATAGCACCAAGCAATTTTCCATTGGAGAGTGCAAACAGAACAGCTTAAAGGAACAGCTCTAATTTGTTTATGGGGGAATTTTCAGGGCCCCTCCTCAATGATTGAGATGGGAACCTTTTTTTGGCTTCTTAGCCTGCCTTGCACAAACCAAATTTGCTTACTATTTTCCAAGAATGAACAAAGACCCCTGAATGGTTAGTTTCACACAGCAAACTTCTTAAAAGTCAGCATTATTCTTTTTTTTAAAAGATATTTGCAGAGGAAAAGGAAGACTGTATATCTATAAACCCAGTATTGATAAGAGAGAAAAGATAGAGTGTAAAATAGATAAAATTATGAAACACTATTAGACACCTGTATTTTTAGGAAGCTTGAAGAAATAGTGGCACTATGTTTGAAGCACTGTGAGATGCCAATACAACAGCTTCTAGCCCCTTGGCACTGACAGTAATGGTTTTGCTATTTGCTGTTGCTATCAGGCTATTAGGATTCACCTAGGAGTGGACACCTGGGACATTTGTTGATGAGAAGTCCCAACAAAAATTATCAGCAGCGGAATGAATCAAATATCTACATCTTCAGATTCAATATCTACAGCAGTGTTTCTCAACCTTGGCTACTTGAAGATGTCTGGACTTCAACTCCCAGAATTCCCCAGCCAGCGAATGCTGGCTGGGGAATTCTGGGAGTTGAAGTCCAGACATCTTCAAGTTGCCAAGGTTGAGAAACACTGATCTACATCTTCAGAAAGTGTAGAACAGGTACTCCTTGACTTATGACCACAACTGAGCCCAAATTTTGTTGCTAAACGAGACGTTTGTTAAGTGAATTTTGCCCCATTTAATGACCTTTCTTGCCACATTTGCTAAGTGAATCACTGCAGTTAAGTTAGTAACACAGTTTTAAGTGAATCTAGCTTCCCCATTGACTTGGCTTATTAGGTCGCAAATGGGGATCACATGACCCCGGGATATCACAACTGTCATAAATATGAATCACCTGCCAAGGATCTGAATTTTGATCACATGACCATGGGAATGCCGCAACAATCCTAAGGGTGAACGGTCATAAGTCACTTTTTTCCAGTGTGTTGTAACTTTGAATGGTCACTAAATGAAGCATTGTAAGTCGAGGACTTCCTGCATAAAATACCAGTTTATTGTTACCAAACCCAAAGATATAATCACTCATGAATTTGGAGTCTAAGTTCTGGTCAAAGTAAGATAAGTAAGATAACAGATCCCCATGACCAAGTGGGTTCACCGACAAATGCGCGATAGACATATGCACGCCGACAAAACCGCGACGGACAAATGAGCGCTGTCAAAATCGCTAATTGATTTTCGACAATAGCGCGCTGACAAATGCGCATCATCAACAACCCTAACCCTAACCCTTTATTGTGCTTGTCATCGCGCTTTTGCCGTCCCTCTTTTGTGGACGCGATTTGACGTCACGTTTTAATCGATGCTATTTTGTCGGCGCGCATATGTCTAGCGCGCATTTGTCGGATCATGAACCAAGTGGCCCTGGCATCTTGGCAGAGGATAAGCCTACATCAATTTGACCCTTCCAAGTGAAGCTTCAATCTGGCCATGCTGACTAGGAATTCTTGGAGCTGGGAGGTTCTAGTTCTAGAAAGCTATCATAATGGGACTGGAAGGTGTCACTTACCTACATCACTTGTCCCAAGATCTGTGGATGCTGACTTGAGAGCTTGCTTCTTACTTCGGTTGCCATGCTTCATCCCTGTTTGTGCCTGTGATGGAAGAACAAAAGGAACTTGTTCTTCAGATACACAAATATCTTATCCTTCACGTTTTTATGCTGGAATTCATTGCAGGAGCCGGTGCTACTGTTTAATCTTTCACCAATGGGTCAAACCAAACCAAGTCTGAGAAGGAGCAATTATGCTAAATGAAATTTAGCAGGCTTGGATGGGAGATTTTGCATTGTGCACACTTTAACCCTCGCTACTAAAGAAGGTGAATTTTAAAGGGCACAAAGGTCTTACCGAGCCTTCACCATTGTCACTAATAGCCACAAACACAGCACATTACAAAACAATGTATGGAAATGTTTCACTTGTGCTTATTTAACATCTAAGTTCTGTATTATCTACTCATTTTTCAGCATGAAGTAAGTCCTTTGACTTACTTTTGTCTCTGTTCTGACAGAATCACACCCATCATCTTTTTGTCCTGTTACGAGTATACCAGGAGGTTTGACAGCATGTGGAGGCCAAGAGAGAGAGAATGTTTGCACCCATTTGCCAGATACATACTGCACTCAGCAGCCATTCTCTTTATCTCCTGAGCTAGCAGGAATTGGCAGTCACAGGTCCATATTAAAATATTGTGCCGCAACTATCAAGTTTTTTATTTTTTTTATTTTTGAGGAAGGTCTATAGGGCAATGTGGATCCCAGAACAATTCTTGGAAGCAAAGATTGCAGCGTGATTGCTTGCTTCCTATTTTTGAAAAAAGGGGAAGAATCTTAATGTCAGCTCCGGCCAGCTCAGAGGCCTGGAGCTGCCATTCCGGGGGGAGAATACTGGGCCAGCTGCCAAGACTCACCGCCCCACCTACACAAACTGAAGAAATTCATGCTAACAATCCATGATTAAAAGCCTATCAAACCGTTTGTGATACAGGTAGTGGTGGAAGCAACCAGGCAATGACAATGTACAGTCCTGATCGATTCAGAGTGCACTCGTTCCGGGCTACCGTCAAACGTAGCCTGTATTGCCGGTGGGTCCCAACATCCCATCACTCCGGGCCCATAACCAGCTGAAGACCCCCTCTGGGTAAGGAGAGGGTAAGGTGCATAGCTCTCTCGCGCCACACTGACACGACTTTGCAGGAGTGAATAGCCTGGATGCAAAAAGTTTGGAAAGTGGTAAGGGATGCGTTATGTCACTCTTTTGCCCCATATAAAAATAGTGCCGATAAAAGGCGGAAGGCGCAAGGACCTTTCCATGTAGACCAGAGGCTATACCTCTCCACTAAGTATCTCAGTCTGCCATTGCCATATAAGAAACTTGGGCCCAAATTCATTGGGCCTTTCCCAATCGTGCGAGTTATTAACCCAGTCACAGTGCAGCTAAGACTCCCTCCTCTACTGGGGAAAACACATCCAGTCTTCCACTGCAGCCTGCTCCGATCAATCCAGGCCTTTGAGACCCACTAGGGCCGCCAACCCCGGTTACTGTAGATGGGGAACAGCACTATATAGTGCAAGATATACTGGATTCCAGGTGGCACAGGGTACAGTTACCTTATTTTATGGAAAGGTTATCCCCTGTCAGAGGCATCTTGGTTTTATGGCAAGGACTGTCAAGCACCAAACCTGGTAGCGAGATTCCACCGCAGACATCCCACAAAACCAGGGGAAAGGGGTCCTTCAACTCCTAACTAACTGTAATCCGTAGCTCCCCAGATGCTATCTCCGTGGTAGGTGGGGCGCATGTCAGCTCTGGCCAGCTCAGAGGCCTGGAGCTGCCATTCAGGGGGGAGAAGACTGGGCCAGCTGCCAAGACTCACCGTCCCACCTACACAAACTGAAGAAATTCATGCTAACAATCCATGATATATGCCGGGTGGTTTCATTCTGGGTCACAAGGTGATGGGTGTGCACACGCGCGGGGTGCGGCTTATTTTAATTACCAATGTAGCTATAAAAGGTGGTGAGAAGCACA